CTATAGTGACAAGCGTGCCGGGAATTGGGGGCTCGTCAGAAATTAGGTTGTACTTGAAAACGGTACCATTGATCCCAAAATACTCAGCAAGCTTAAGCGGTACAGTGGGGTCAATGTGAGACACACCGTTGAGTGCAAAGCGAAGCTTTTCGTCGACTGCAGAAGTTGAGCTGGCGAGCTTAATTGTTCGAGTGATGTTGATCTGACCGTAGTGGTATGAGCCCTGTGGGTTGGGTCTGGCAGCGCTGGCAGTGAGATTCCAACGGAATGAGCGCCATTGGTTAAGAGACCAAGCCCAAGTCGTTGGTGCGGAACGGAGGTCAGGGTTTGCCGGGATGTTGCTTCCGCTATAGCGGATGATGGCGGTAGTGGTCTGAACCGTTTTTTGAAACCGAGTGGAGGCCACAAGGTAGTAGTCGCGTGGAGATTGGTCTGCTGCGACGAGCACGGAGTAGCATTGCCCGGCATGGACATCCAACGAATTGTAGACGTTCTGCACAGTGTGGCTGCCGTCTACTTCCACCAACTTCAGTGTATGCCCCTGAATTCTGAACTTATGGTCGGATGTTCATAATTAGTCAATGAGTAATATTACTACACTCTCAAAGATATACTTTGACGACTGGACAATTTCGTCAATTCTCAATATTTTTTGTCAATTTAATAAAAAATTAAAAATATCATTTTAAAAATTTCGCCAACAAAAAGACAGTTATACTTTTTATTGGAATACATTTTATTAAATGATGAAGTGACTAGTATATCGAATTTAAGAAAATTTTACAGATCAAATATATTACATATAATTTTAAAATTATATTAATAATAATTAAATTAAATATAGACGAGTTTATCAAATTTAAAAAATGTAATTTCTTGCTGCTGAGGATTTTAAAGATTCATTTTAAACTATTTTGATTCAGTTTTAAGGGTCTGTTTAGGACAATTTATTTGGTGCATCTGACCTGTTTGGGTAAATTGTGTTTTGAGAGCTGATGCGTTTTTAAAATGTTGAAAACATTATTTTCACACCGCACCTACCTATGTGAGTTGACAGCTTTCTAATAGAAGTCAAAAAAATAAAAATTTATAATAGTCACCACATCTAGCTTATCGGCAGATTATTCAATAAACTATAACTGCCCCAAACAGACACTAAATCTACAAAAAAAAATGATGTATTTCAAAGATGATTGTTGAGCTTGATTATAATTTGTCAATTTAAAACATGATTAGAATAAAAATATTTGTGCTTTAGTGAGGTCGTGGACCAAATTACCTGAAGTTGAGCGATGCCTTGAGCCCGACATTGCACACGCGGAAACGGTAGACCTTCCCAGCCTCCATGACGAACATGGGAGAGTCGCCGGGCTTGGCCGACGCGAATCCGTTGACAAGCACACCGCGAGCGCGGGTGAGGCGTCGGCCAGAGTCGAGCATGCGAGCAAGGTCCTTATGGCTGATGCCGTACCAGTCGGACATTAGCACGTCAAATTCATCCGCAGGGGGGTCAAATGGAACGGGGATGAGAAGGCGACTGTGGACGCGAATTGGCCCATACCCACCAGCAGCCTTCTGCATGCCAATGCTGGGGTAGTAATAGAAGCTGCCGATCTGGTCCTTTGGTTGCCAATGGTAGGTAAAGTTTTGGCCGGGTGGGATTGGGCAGTTGGTGCCCGGCATGCCGTCCTGCCACGAGTTCTTGCGCTGCTGGATGCCATTCCAAGAGAGGAGGAAAGGCTCGTCCAGTTGATTGAACACGTTTACGACAATATTGTTGTTGCTGGTACAGTTGATAACGGGTCCCGGGAATTGATTATTGATCATGATTACTTTTTGGGGGACACCGAAGGGGGAGATGATGCCGTAGCTCACCGTCCATGTGAAGTAGAGGTAAGGGTCCTCAGACCGAGCGGATATGAAGATGAGGAACAAAACAGCGAGTGCTACCCCAGACTTCGTCGTCGACATTGTTGCTTTCGCTTGTAAAGGTTGCTCTGTTTTGATTAAGGAGAGACCTTAGCGAGACATGAATGGAAGGTCCCAGGGCTTATGTTGAGGGGATTAAGAGACTGTGCTAGCCTGGGAAAAGTTGGCGCTCCTTCGATTTAGAGGGACGAGAGGTTGAGTTGTTTTATAGGAAGAGAAACGCAACTTGTCTTGCCAAATTTGGATCCGAGGCGGCGGTTTAATTTGGAAGGAAGGAGAGCTCTGCATTCAACGGCAAATGCCAGACGGTCATGGGTATAGAAGAACGGAGGGAAGGAGAACAGAGGTTTGCTGCCTAGTCTTAATTTGGGAGGCGGTTGTTTCTTGGGGGTTTGGGCTGTGTGCCTTGTTAGTTTGGGCGAAGATGACTAATTTGGGAGAAACTTAACCGCTACTCCGCTCACAAATAGTTTAAAAAACTTTTGTTATTGTACAATAATTAAAGAAAAACCTTCTTAGATCGGAGAATAATTAATTGAGTTTGAAACAAAGGATATTATAAAATATTTTATTCAAAATTATGTATATAAGGAAGCAAAAGGCAATAAAAGGGATAATAAGAAGGATTTCATTTTTGGCGAGGCAATCATTTATTTTGTTAAGCCTAGCAATGAGGTGGAGATGGAGAAGAGGATGGAGAAGAGGTGAACGAGAATGAGGAGATAATAGAAACAATCCCTTGTTATCATATTATTAAACTCACTTTAGTTCAATCTTCTCTCGCCCAATGCTTTCCTCTATTCTTCTTTGGTTGGGTGTTTCTTTTAACAAAAAAAATTTGGCTTGGAAGGAGTTCACTAGCCTAGGATGCCCTAAAGAACTATTGGTGTAGCTACGCCTCCTTTAGGCATAGTTATGCCACTCCACAAAGCGGTACCAGCAGTGGCATAGAAATGCCAGTTGAAACCATGGTGTCACCCCAAACGGTGCCTACACACCTGACTGGTGTGATTATGTTGGTGTGGCATAATTATTCCACCACAACCAAGAGAGTGATATAATTATACCATTAGATGGGGGAGCTACGCTGCTGACCCGCTCGATGCCTCATTTTGCCTATTTCTATCACAATTCAAACCTCTAACAATTATAGTTCATTCTTTCCCCATTAAAAAGAATAGGAAGCTTTCTCATGATAGACACAACTTCTCTCCTCTTCCGCTTGGTCTTCCCCTCTCCCTCTCACTCTTCCCTCTCCCTTTCACTTTCTCATGCAAGTTTCTATTGCTCAATTTCTTTCACCTGTTCAGCCTCTTCTAACACACATATTCCTCGTCCTCCTCCTCTCTGTTCAATAGGCATCAAAGGAAATCTACTTCAAGTTGTTGTAATGTAACAAGATCTTCACCATGTAGATTCATATGTGCAATCTCCTTGCATGTGTGGCCCTACGTTAATTTGCTTTCATCTGTAAGAATTTCATGTATGGATTTTTATGCGCAATCCTATGCATAGGTGCTCTCCTTCATATGTAATCTTCATACTGTGTAGATTCTCCATATTTAGTCTTCACCATGTGTAGATTTTCTATGTACAAACTTTTTCATATATTGATGTGTTAACTATGTGAACTTGAAATATTTTCATGTGTAGTTTCACGTGCTTTCAATCACGTACACAAGCCAAGGCTTACTTCCTACTTCCCAAAGTAAGCTACTCCTAACGAATCTATTACATTCTCCTCACCTTGCTCACTGCCTTTTCCCCATTCACAAACTCACATCTGATAATGATTGCATTATTTTCCTTATTAAATCTAGCTTCATCATTAAGGATTGGAGGACAAACAAATCAATTTTTCAAGGAAAAACGGTCTCTATCCCATCAAAACTCTCTCAGTAGTTTGAAATCTCTCCAAACTCAACTGATACCTTTTACACAAATGTTTCAAGAACGGCTCAACTAAACATGCCCTCAATCAAGTGTTAAATAACACCAAACTTAGCACATAACTTCACAAACTTTTGCACGGTTAAACGATTGCATGACTATTTTGAGATTGGACAAATTTTTATTTAATCATTGCTTTAATGGCAATTTGACTTCATTTTAGGTTTTTTTTTTAGCAAAAACTCCATTATAAAATTACATTAATTAGGCTTTAATGTAATTTGGCTTGTTTGAAATAGCTTTTAAAAGCTGTGCTTTTTTTAAAACATTATATTATATATTTTTGTCAATTTGTCCAGTTCTAATATTTATCTAAAAACCAAATAAATGGCGTTGAATTGATTTCAAGCCAAAATAAAAGGGCTTACACAGTAAATAGCATCTCCACAAAGGATGCTGGCATACCTTAATTATGCATTAAACCAATATAGGAAGATTTAAATACGTACCATTTAATTCCATCATATCTACATTCTAAAAGTTAAAATAGTATTATTTTTAATGTGATGAAAAATTTGAGTTGTATAAATGTAAAAAATAAAGTTCAGATGTCAAATATGTACATAAATAAAAATTGAGTAGTATGTAGACATTAACCAATGTTGTTCAAGCAACAATGAAGACAATTTAACATTTTCAAAACTTTCCCTCGTTTAAACCAAAACTAGCATACATTTCTAGCAAATATGATTTTCCATTTCCCTTTTCTTCCTCGAATGTTATTGCCGAGTATATATCAATGTGAGAGCTTCAACTCTAAACATTTTTATAGCGAAAATGAATGGCAATCAATCAAATAAATTGAGTTGTGCGCACTTACGCAAAGCGAGATTAAAGGCAGGCTTTGCACTCTTCTCATGGAAAACTTTGCCCAAGTTTAGTGAACTACAAAAGCTTGCTGCAATCATTACCCAACTTTTTAGCAGGAAAACATGTCTTATAAATCAAGCTTTAGAGCTATTTTGTTTGAGTGAAATTAGAAGTTTTGAAATACGATGAATCTATTAACGGATCTGTCATCAAATAAGATGACAATATTTCAACTAACAAAAAGATAGAAATTATAATCATCATTTTTTAAAACCCCATATATATTTAAGAGCAAAAAAATGAGCCTCTGGACGATAAGAGCAGGAAATGCATTGATGATGTATAAACTGCATTAAGAGCAGTCAGTTTGTTTGAACGTTGTTGGAGTTAATTTTTCATTCCCATTAAAGCAGAGAATTGGTCAGAAAATATTTCTAGTAACAGGTGCCAAATTGCTCTGCTGCCACCCCTGACTACACCAAAGCTTCAAAGCTTAAACGGTTGAAAAAAATTCCTTAGCTTCTCTATAACAACGGCAACAAAATTGATCAGTTTTTCTACCTTAATGGTATGGTAAAATTTAGTTTCTATCGAGCGTTTATGCCCATCTCTCCTGTATGACGTTCCAATGGAGATTTGCAATGCCTTTGCAGTTCCATTAACCTGTCCATGTTGAAATTCTTCTTCTGTAGTAGCTTCCTCTGTCTTGAAAGGAAAAGCCTCTTCATCAGATCCTGATAGGTTGGATCCTTGGAAGTAAAAAGAAAATAGGCATAGCCAACTATGATTCCAGCTGTAGTAGTAAAGAATGCTATGGGTTCCATCACATCCCAAGAGAACTCCCAGAAGGTGAGCCTAAAGAAAAGCCCAACCTGCAAAACAAAGAAACCCAGACCGGACCACAAAATGCATCGAACTTGTTTGTGAGCGAGCATATCAATCTCTTCTTTCTTTTTCTGCAGCTGGTTTAGCTCTTCGTGCCGAGGATCATTTGTGGGTGACCAAGCAAAAGGGACTGCCCTTCTCACTTGATCCACTACCTACAACAAGTGAGGAGGAATGCATGGGTTAGTCATACAAGAGTTTGGGAGTTTAATGTTTTAAAAATTTGAAATTTCCATAAAATTAGTTGGAGAACAGAAAAATCTCACCAATCAAATTTTATCCAAATAAATAATAATAATAATAATAATAATAAATTCAAACAGAAATTAGTAACAAACAGAAATAATAATAGTGTTTTTGGTTATTAGTTATTTTTTCAAAAGAATTTTTTTTATAAGTGCGTTGGTTCATTAATTTTTTTGATGTATTTATATGAGTTCGGTGATGGTTTTTTGGTTCTTAAATATCTTTTCAAAAGTAATAATAATCTTCATATTTTTTTAATAGTGCTCTTTGGCTCTTAGATGTTTGATAAGTATTTATATATGAATAATGTGATGGTGTTTTATTTCTTAGATATTTTTCCAAGGAACCAACAAAGATCGTATATCTTTATGATGGTGCTTTAGTTTTTAAATTTTTTTTCAAATAAACCAACAATATTTATATTTTTCTCCAGAAAATGTTTTTCCAGATTGAACAAGAAGAGATGAAATGAAATTACTAATCTAGCATCAATACTAATAAATTTGCATATCTTGTGGGCAAAAATGAAAGTTTTGATGTTTGATGTGTATTGATATATGAATTATGTGATGGTATTTTTGGTCGTGTTATTTGATAACTTGATCTCACTGAGCTCTAATTCGAATATCTTCCTTTTTACTAAATTTTATTTTAGTTTTTATAAAATTTTTTTTTTAATTATATAATATTTCTTCGTCCAAATGTTTTAACTGTATCATACATCAAGTCAACAAAAGGAAGATGAGATATCTACCATTTGAGATAGAGAGATGGAGATCATATTCTGTGATTTATGCTTAAGATAGGTAGATCATATTATGTGATTTATGCTTAAGAGATGGAGATCATATTCTGTGATTTATGCTTAAGAGAGATAGAAATTGGCAATAGACTGAACACGCACTTCAATAAAGAACATTAGCAAAACCACAAAAAATATACATGAAAGATCAGAAAGATTATATGACAAAACTGAGTTGAAAAATAAATTGGATCAACTGAAAAAAGATTGAAAATTGTGGAAGAAGCTAAAGAGGGATTACTGGATTGTGTTGAGACCTTGTTAAGAAACTGGTGGATGCATCAGAAGAGTGGTGGCTAAAAAAAGTCAGTAAGTAGAAAATGTTTTATTGAACTGTGTATTGGAATGCAACTTTTTTGAACTCAATTTTATTAACTGTAGGTCCCAATGCAAAAAAATTTAGACTTGCTAGAATTGAACCAGAGCTAGAGGAAAAGCTTAATCCTATGTTCCTCAGTGTTGTGGCAACAGACATCAATGTCTGAGCTACAACACATGACCCCACCCAGAATTTGGATGAGTCTGAATTTGCTCATTCCAATGATGCCTACAAAGAAGCAGCAAAGAAGAGAGAACAAGGTAAATCTAATCATTCCAAGTATCTTGCACCATCCACCCAGAAGGAAAAAAAGAAAATGAAGAAGGGCGCATTTATCTAAGTAGATATCACAACTCATTACTAACTACACAAGCATCACATCCAGTGCTCACACAGCTCTGCAGGGATACCCGACTATGATAGATGTTCTGAATTTGTTGGACTATGTTCCGAAGATATTTGATGATGTCCCTTTATTTATTTTCTGCAAAACTTCTAAAGGATCGAAATAAGTGGGAGGATTTCTTCACCCTAGTGTCGGATTAAAGGATTCTTCACCTTCAATATTTCTTAGATAATCGGTTTAATTAGTTTGATTTTTTTATTGCTATTTTGGATTTTGGTTCATAATAATTTATATTTTCATTTGAAGTATGTGTTGTGTCATGTTTATGTGACATTTCAGTATTTATGATTTGAAGTAATATTTTAATTAAGAGTCATTTCAATATTTATTTTCACTTCTAACATAATTTGTTCATTTTTATATATTCTAACGTGTATATAATAGTCAGATGAACCAATTAGATGAAGAGAAAATTATAGAGATAGTTGAACGAGCAATGATTTTGACCACAACAGTATGTCTTACTAATGAGTACTATCAAAGAAATTCGTGCAAGATACAAATGTCATTGTCATCTGTGGCTGACAAGCAGGCTGACGAGCTATGTGAACCCAACAAAGAAAAATTAATAACATGTTGCAAATGTTGAAAACTAATTTCTGTGATTTATAAAAAGAACTGTAAACTAATTATGATTTGCATAGATTGTCGCACTTTACACCCAGTAATGTTCTAGCCATCACACTATATATTGTCACATAATGACTCCATTCGTGCTGCTTCTCAGCGATTCCAACACTCCACACAGACGATTATTAGATATTTCGATATAAGGGTTAACTCTTTAGTAAAATTGTCTACCAACATTGTGAAATCCAAAGATAATGTTTTTTACGCAAACAATGAGAAAAATCTATAGTCATACAAGATACATGTCGTTTTTCAAGATATCAATATCTCTATTTATTTTGGCATTAGTATTTTACAACAAAAAAATAATGTTGTAATGAATTTTTTAAATAATATTATATCAGAGCAATTGACAGCACACATGTTGATGCACGTGTTGCAATGAAGAAAATATTGCATATATTGGATGATGTCAAGCTACTACACAGAACATCTTAGCAGTTTATGATTTTAATATGTGTTTTATGTTTGTGACATCTGGATGAAAAGAGAGTGCTCATAATAGTCGAATATTAAAATTGGCAACCCGGCGACATAAGTACAAATTTTTAATGTCTACACTAGGTTAGTACATTCAAAACTGTACATGAGGCGTTTGATTTGAGAATATGTAGTAATAATGTTATTAGTCAAGAAAATATTGCCTTGTTTATTCAGGATCTTCATTACAACGAAATTTCTTAAAGTCATTCCCCGACACGAGGTAGCACTTTCCCAATTTTTAGCACGACAGCCAAGTGATGATAAATGAATTCTTCAATAAAAGACACTCATCATTATGGAGTGTTATCGAGAGAGCATTCAGTGTATGGGCATACTTTGAGATATGCAAACGTATTCTTTCAAAAAATAAGTCAAGATGATTGTAATAACAGCGCTGCATAATTTTATACGGAGGCATCCATCTCGAGAAGATATTGATTTAAGGATCCTAGATGAAGATCAAACATGCATGCCTATGCAATTTGTCTCTGAGATATGGTGAAATTATGAAGTTATTAGATGTTCACTATTGGGGCCTATCATCTAACAATAAGCTTGATGAAACACGATATATTATATGCTTCAATATGCTTTTCATCATCTCTGTCATTAAAGATTATTTAGGAAAGATATAAGATAGGATATGAAAACACATTATGTATGTTGGGTATGGAATCCAAGGATATAGACCATTTTTTTATATTTTTGAATGTGTTATCACGTAATTTTATAGGATCATTATACCCCATCTCAAATATAATTTATTTATCAAATGAATTGAATTCCAAGTTCTTCAAAAAGTTCCCTGGTAGGAAGATCTCGCGAAACTCATCTCATAAAATTGAGAAGAAAATTTTGATCATTGAGTATTTTACTAATGATAATAACAATCATGCTCAACTTCGTCATAAATTCAATTCACTGAAATTGTTGTAGGGCAATTATCCCTACACTATACTTGATTATAAAATCCAATGCGTGGAAAAATCTTTTTGATCCTTACAACTATTTTGTCACTCTAGTTAATAACTCGTTCGGATGAAAATTCTTTACGTTAAAAATTTCTCTTCTCAAAAGCATCTTTCAAAAAACAAACCTATGATTGTCTTATCTAATTTAATATTGCATATTATTATTATTTTTTTCTTTATTAATGTGCTCCTGCCTCTAAAATCCAAACTAGTTTATTTTAATAAGTATTAAATTAGTATTCTTACGTGCTAGAAAATTTTCAATATTGAGAAATCTTAAGCCTTAGCCCAGTTGTAATTTTCAAGCATACACGCATATATAAATGTAAGAGACAACAAGATTTTTTATGCAAGAAAATCCTATAAAGAAAAAATACCAATGGGTCTCGCTCAGTCAAGTAACGCACTAGAAAATCAATAGTATAGAGTTTCAGTGTTCTCCTAAATTAAGGAAGATGTAACGTAAAAGCTTAGCAGAAGAAGAAAAACACGAAAAAGGAGGTGCATGCAATCCATAATCAGAAATTTATGTAAACCCTAATATGTTTTCCCTCTCCCCAGAAAACTCCCATATATATCCCTTCTAATTAGCATATACTAAAAATAGGAAATCAAATCAAAACCAAAAAATATTCCACATGAAAAGACAGAAATCTGTAGCTCGGGAATGAAGAGAAGAATAAAGACCTTATTGGTTGTCTACTAATTGTGATTTCATATCCCTTGGTTTAATGGGTTTTGCATCATGTCTACCCTACTTCAAACAAAAACTCATCATGAGTTGCGTGTTTACCTCATCTAGTGGACGATGGGTGTATATATAAGCATTGAAATTTGAAGAAGTAGGGACATTGGGTTGAAGGTCAAACATATAGGCCTTGTCCTTTTTTTCTTTTTAATAATTGGAAAAGGATCAAGTTTGCATGGATTAACTTTTTAGAGTAAATGATGAACCATGACAAGGTCGCATCTATTAAATAATTTATGCAAATGATGAGTCTATGCATCTTTTTTATACTTATTGTTGGAGCACTGCAGCCTTAGAGACTGTGAATGTCATAGACAACCAATTCAACAATCCATATTTCAATACTTATGACCCCAACTGGAAGAATCACCCAAGTTTCAACTAAACTAATAATAACTCAAATATAAGAAAATAATTAGTGAGGAAACGCAATCAAATCATATAGAAAATTGAAACTATCAAGGTAGTAGTAACCGAAGAAAGACCTACCTCCCTGGATTCACTTCCAATGTCTAGCCTAAGGAGAATTTTTGGAGGAGATTGTGTTACA